TTTTTAAGATTTTATTTACTTATTTGACAGAGAGAGAGAGAGCACAAGCAGGGGGAGCAGCAGTCAGAGGGAGAGGGAGAAGCAGGCTCGATCCCAGGACCCTGGGACCATGACCTAAGCCGAAGGCAGACGCTTAATGACTGAGCCACCCAGGCGCCCCTAAAACATGAGATTTTTTTAAAGAATCCTCATCAACACTTTGACATTTTCCAAACTACTTATTATCATAAATTTTAATTACTATACCTATTACAAAGACACTAAACTATAAAAAAAAAAGTATACATATCCAGCAATAAAAATCCAAGGAAGCCATAGAAAAAAGTATGTAAATAGTTATGGTGGTATTTAGGTGATAGAAAAATAAAGTTTTTAAATGTTTTTTTAAGCTTACTTATTTATTTAAGTCATCTCTACACCCAACATGGGGCTCAAACCCACAACCCCAAGATCAAGAGTCGCATGCTCCTCTGACTTAGCCAGCCAGGGGCCCCTTAAATGTATTTTATTTTTAATTTTAAAGTATTATCATTGTCACTTTTTGAAAGGCATTTTTAAAATATATCCAAAAGTTTCATGCTTGGTGTTATAAATAGGCAAAAGCAGGAATTTCTCAGCCATTCATGTGAATATATGATTACTTTTGTATCTTTTTTCTTTTAATTTCACACAGCATTTCTTTTTTTTTAAGATTTTATTTATTTATTTGAGAGAAAGAATGAGAGAGAGAGAGCACATGAGAGGAGGGAGGGTCAGAGGGAGAAGCAGACTCCTTGCTGAGCAGGGAGCCCAATGTGGGACTCGATCCTGGGACTCCATGATCATGACCTGATCTGAAGACAGTCGCTTAACCAACTGAGCCACCCAGGCACCCTGATTACTTTCATATCTAAACTAAGTGTACACAATATGGAAAAATGACACTAATATATCATTCAGTTAAAAAAAACAATTTGAAGAACTTTATGTGTAGCATGATCTTAGCCATATGGAAACAAAACACTATGTATTATGTAGGGGTGTGTCTGCATGTATACATTTAAAAAGATCTGCAAAGATAGTCACCAAACTGTTAAGAGTGGTTATTCCTGGAGGGTGAGACTAGAAGAGTAAAGAGACATTCACTTTTTATTTCATATATATATTTTTTAAAGATTTTATTTATTTATTTGAGAGAGAGAGAGAATGAGAGATAGAAAGCATGAGAGGAAAGAGGGTCAGAGGGAGAAGGAGACTCCCTGTCGAGCAGGAAGCCCGGTGCAGGACTCGATCCCAGGACTCCAGGATCATGACCTGAGCCGAAGGCAGTCGCTTAACCACCCAGGTGCCCTTATTTCATATATTTTTGTATTAATTGCCTATTTAATAAGTATATGCAAACTTTCATAATTTTTAATGAACAATTTTTAAAATTATTTGAAGGTGCCATCAGTTTAGATTATTTTCTTCTAAAAAGAAATAGAAGTAGCTTTTTCGCAACGGGTTTGCCACCAGAACACAGGTGTCGTGAAAACCACCGCTCAACCTAAACCAAAATGGGAAAGGAAAAGACTCACATCAACATCGTCGTCATTGGACACGTAGATTCGGGCAAGTCTACCACTACTGGTCATCTGATCTACAAATGTGGTGGGATCGACAAAAGAACTATCGAAAAATTTGAGAAGGAGGCTGCTGAGATGGGAAAGGGCTCCTTCAAGTATGCCTGGGTCTTGCATAAACTGAAAGCTGAACGTGAACGTGGTATCACCACTGATACTGATATCTCCCTGTGGAAATTCGAGACCAGCAAGTATTACATAACCATCATTGATGCCCCAGGACACAGAGACTTTATCAAAAACATGATTACAGGCACATCTCAGGCTGACTGTGCTGTCCTGATTGTTGCTGCTGGTGTTGGTGAATTTGAAGCCGGTATCTCCAAGAATGGGCAGACCCGTGAGCATGCCCTTCTGGCTTACACACTGGGTGTAAAACAACTAATTGTTGGTGTTAACAAGATGGATTCCACTGAGCCACCCTACAGCCAGAAGAGATACGAGGAAATCGTCAAGGAAGTCAGCACCTACATTAAGAAAATTGGCTACAACCCCGACACAGTAGCATTTGTGCCAATTTCTGGTTGGAACGGTGACAACATGCTGGAGCCAAGGGCTAACATGCCTTGGTTCAAGGAATGGAAAGCGACCCGTAAAGATGGGAATGCCAGTGGAACCACACTGCTTGAAGCTCTAGATTGCATCCTGCCACCAACTCGTCCAACTGACAAGCCCTTGCGTCTGCCTCTCCAGGACGTCTACAAAATTGGTGGTATTGGTACTGTCCCTGTGGGCCGAGTCGAGACTGATGTTCTTAAACCTGGGATGGTGGTCACCTTTGCTCCAGTCAATGTTACAACTGAAGTAAAGTCTGTTGAAATGCACCATGAAACTTTGAGTGAGGCTCTTCCTGGGGACAATGTGGGCTTCAATGTCAAGAACGTATCTGTCAAAGATGTTCGTCGTATATCAGATAAAGGGCTAGTATCCAAAATCTATAAAGAACTTATCAAACTCAACACCCAAAGAACAAATAATCCAATCAAGAAATGGGCAGAAGACATGAACAGACATTTCTCCAAAGAAGACATCCAAATGGCCAACAGGCACATGAAAAAGTGCTCAACATCACTCGGCATCAGGGAAATCCAAATCAAAACCTCAATGAGATACCACCTCACACCCGTCAGAATGGCTAAAATTAACAAGTCAGGGAACGACAGATGTTGGCGGGGATGTGGAGAAAGGGGAACCCTCCTACACCGTCGGTGGGAATGCAAGCTGGTGCAACCCCTCTGGAAAACAGTATGGAGGTTCCTCAAACAGTTGAAATTAGAGCTACCATTCAATCCAGCAATTGCACTACTGGGTATTTACCACAAAGATACAAATGTAGGGACCCGAAGGGGTACGTGCACCCCAATGTTTATAGCAGCAATGTCCACAATAGCCAAACTGTGGAAAGAGCCAAGATGTCCATCAACAGACGAATGGATAAAGAAGATGTGGTATATATACACAATGGAATATTATGCAGCCATCAAAAGGAATGAGATCTTGCCATTTGCAAGGACGTGGATGGAATTGGAGGGTGTTATGCTTAGTGAAATAAGTCAATCAGAGAAAGACATGTATCATATGACCTCACTGATATGAGGAATTCTTAATCTCAGGAACAAACTGAGGGTTGCTGGAGTGGTCGGGGGTGGGAGGGATGGGGTGGCTGGGTGATAGACACTGGGGAGGGTATGTGCTACGGTGAGCGCTGTGAATGGTGTAAGACTGTTGAAGCACAGATCTGTACTTCTGAAACAAATAATGCAACATATTTTAAGAAAAAAGAAAAAGAAGAAGATAGCAGGAGAGGAAGAATGAAGGAGAGTTAAGTCAGAGGGGGAGACGAACCAGGAGAGATGATGGACTCTGAAAAACAAACTGAGGTTTCTAGAGGGGAGGAGGGTAGGGGGATGGGTTAGCCTGGTGATGGGTATTAAAGAGGGCACATTCTGCATGGAGCACTGGGTGTTATGAACAAACAATGAATCATGGAACACTACACCAAAACAAATGATGTAATATATGGTGATTAACATAACAATAAAAAATTAAAAAAAAAAAAGATGTTCGTCGTGGCAATGTGGCTGGTGACAGCAAAAATGACCCAGCAATGGAAGCAGCTGGCTTCACGGCTCAGGTGATTATCCTGAACCATCCAGGCCAAATCAGTGCTGGATATGCACCTGTGCTGGATTGTCCACACGGCTCACATTGCTTGCAAGTTTGCTGAGCTGAAGGAGAAAATAAATCGTCGATCTGGAAAAAAGCTGGAAGATGGTCCCAAGTTCTTGAAATCTGGTGATGCTGCCATTGTTGATATGGTTCCTGGCAAGCCTATGTGTGTTGAGAGCTTCTCTGACTATCCTCCTCTGGGCCGTTTTGCTGTTCGTGACATGAGACAGACGGTTGCTGTGGGTGTCATCAAAGCAGTGGACAAGAAGGCAGCTGGAGCTGGCAAGGTCACCAAGTCTGCCCAGAAAGCTCAGAAGGCTAAATGAATATTATCCCCAATACCTGCCACCCCAGTCTTAATCAGTGGTGGAAGAACGGTCTCAGAACTGTTTGTGTCAATTGGCCATTTAAGTTTAATAGTAAAAGACTGGTTAATGATAACAATGCATCGTAAAACCTTCAAAAGGAAAGGAGAATGTTTTGTGGACCATGTTTTTGTGTGTGTGTGTGTGTATGGCAGTTTTAAGTTATTAGTTTTTAAAATCAGTACTTTTTAATGGAAACAACTTGACCAAAAATCTGTCACAGAATTTTGAGACCCATTAAAACAAAAGTTTAATGAGAAAAAAAAAAAAGAAATAGTACATTAAATTCAACACCTTCTTGTGTCAATTTTTAGTTATCCAAACCAAAAGAGAAACTGAACATGGCAGCAATGCCAATAGGTTATATTTGGCTTCCAAACACATAACAGGTTTTTACAGCACCTTTACTCATACCCCAGAGGAAGCATCTGGGTGGTACCCTGAAAAGTCCCTGATGAAAACTTTGCCAGATAACAGCTATTTAGTAAAGATAATTAACATCACCTTTGGTATTCACATTTTACCCTAACATACCCATGCTTTAACAATCATTGCCAATATATGTGGAACAGAATTTAAAAAGAAAAAAAAAAGCACTCTGAGAAGACATTATAGACTAATACAAAATACAGCTCTTAATTTCAAAAAATGACCCAAGTTGTAAAATACCAAACCAAGTTTTGGAATACTGTGAAGAGGAAGAAATAAGAAATGTCAGTCTCCCATTCTTTCTTTCTTTTCTGATTTATCCTCCTGATGCCTCACACCTGAACTCCTTAGTGAACTCACCAGCAAGGGGCTCTGGGGCCCACTTGAAATGTGCAAATCAAACAACGCTGTAAGCAAGAAGACATTAGAAGCATACCTTTTCCAAAATGAACTTGTTTAAATACGGCATGTAGCCCTGATTGGAGACGGGCCCCTCATCATCATCCCTGAAGTGCTCTTCAAGGGCAACAGGGTCATGTGGAACCTTCAGCACCGTGCACAGGTTATGGGAAAGGACCTAAGGGGGAAAGAAAGTAGTTTATTTATTTTTTTTAAATTGGGGGTGCACCGTTCCTGGAAGTACTGCAATACCAGGTCGATGCACGAGTGGACGGAGCAAGCTCCTATTCCACCTCCTGGCTCCAAAAATCCATTTACTATATTGTCCTCGGATAGAGGACATATCAGATATTAAACTGATAAGAACAGATACTACACTTGATCTTAGCCAAAAGGCCGAGAAGCGATAAGAAAGTAGTTTAAAGGCATCTGCTCACCAACACATGGCAGCTTCACTGTCTGAACACAATTGGCTGCTCCCTGCCCTAGGGAGAGAAAGATGGAGAATAAGCTAACAAATACGGGGTGAGTACTGCTTGGCTGCCTGCTCCTCACTTGGTTGTTACCTCAGTCCCTCCCCAGTTCTGGTTCACTTCAAACAAGTCTCTTTTACATGCCTACAATGAGCTGGCTCCATGCAAGATCTATGACTCTACACAGGAATAAAGGGAATGGCATAGGGAATGCAGTCCATGAGACTGTAATAACACTGTATGGTGACAGACAGTAGCTATCCTTGTGGTGAGCACAGCATAACATATAGAGAAGTTGAATCACTATGTTGTACACCTGAAACTAATGTACACCATGTGTCAACTATACTTAAAAAAATGCTTAAGTATCTGTGACTATAATATTCCTTACAATTTTTTATTACTTGGCCCACATTAGAATGAAAAAAGCGGGAAAAAACCAAGAGGATGTTTTCAAAATTAAACTTCTCCCCAAGTAGAGCAGTGTCAGTCAGTTAGAGCTGTAAGGGAAAGAACATGGAACTGGGCAGCTGCAGCCGAAGGTTCTGGACAAAGTGACTGAGGAGGGCCAATCACACCTCTCTGGGCTCCGGTGTTCTCACTTGGTTCAATACAAAGGGCCAAGTTAACATGCAAAAGTACCAAATATTAATTAGCAATCTCTAAGTGTCCAAGTATCTCTAAAATTCTAGGATACTGGGCTAAGTTTTCAGCATGAGTCTAAAAGAACATAAATATAAAAAGAGAAAAGAAATCAAGGGCCTGGTTTAGAAATAGAAGAAAAATTAATTGCAAAAATATTTCAGAAGATTTGCATTCTGTATATAAAGCATTACTGGTTTTGGCATAACTGGAGTGCATACTTTCACACTCAGGCAGTTCAATTAGCAGTCTGGGGTCTGTGAGTACTAATCTCATTTTGTATTAAATGAAAATTTTACATTAAAACTTAAACCCCTCCCATTTCATTTGTGCATTCTAAACAGGTCAGTTACATAGCTCAGGCTGTACTTGCTTTAACAGAGAATCTTACCAGACGTTAAATCCCAGGTTAAAATATTCCCTACTTTGCTCAGCCCTACACATTTAATCACTTGAAGAACCACATTCATCTCAATGAAACTTTCAATGCCACTTTTTCCTGCATACACATACTTCAGTCAGGATTTTTTAAGATTAAAAAAAGTAACCTATAAAAAGAATATTTGCATATCTTCTCTTTATATTTGTTTTGTTTCTCAAAGCTTCATTTATGTGCAGATCCTTTTCTACATGCTCTACTGGTTTTAAGGAAGTAAGTAAAGGAAGTAAATTCACAAATGGTTATAAATGAAGTAATGAAGACTTTTATCAGCCCCTACAAAGCAGGCTGTGTTTCTCAAGCAAAACCTCTATTTGCCAATAGTAGAGCACATGAAAAGAGCGCGGTAGAGCTCTTGCTGAAGAATCCTGCACCACAGTCGGCAAAAACCTAGATATTTCCTTTCTCTATTTACCTAGTACAACTCGTGGAGTAATTATCTTCTTCCAAAGAGATTTTGTGAGGATCATCTGCAAGAACGTAAAGTGCTTAAAACCTGTAATGTACTATAGAAATATGAGTTTGGAGAAATAAGGAGCAATTTTCTCAGCTAAGGCTCAAAGGTCATTCAAATCTGAAATCATTTAGGACTTTAATCAACTAAAAATTCCTAACCACTGGTTAAATTATGATGCATTCATAAAACATTAAGAAGAATAAGGAAGCTCACTGTGTGGTGGTATGAAAAGATCTCCAAGATAAGTGAAGTGAAAAAAGCAATATGCTTAAGATTGTTTAGTGTGCCATCTTTTATGTAAAAAAAAAAAAAAAGAAAGAAAGAGGGCACTGGGTGGCTCAGTCGTTAAGCGTCTGCCTTCGGCTCAGGTCATGATCCCAGGGTCCTGGGATCGAGCCCCGCATCGGGCTCCCTGCTCCGCAGGAAGGCTGCTTCTCCCTCTCCCACTCCCCCTGCTTGTGTTCCCTCTCACTGTGTCTCTCTCTGTCAAATAAATAAAATCTTAAAAAAAAAAAAAAAAGAAACTCTAGCAGAGGGGCACCTGGGTGGCTCAGTTGTTAAGCATCTGCCTTCGGCTCAGATCATGATCCCAGGGTCCTGGGATTGAACCCCACGTTGGGCTCCTTGCTCAGCAGGGGGTCTGCTTCTCCCTCTGCCTGCCACTCCCCCTACTTGTGCATGCTCTCTCTCTCTGACAAATAAATAAATCTTAAAAATAAATAAATAAAGGTTCTATTTCTTAAAAACCCTAGATTATATAAGAAACTAATAACAGTAGGGGAAAGATTACCTTGGTGGTAGACCTGAGGTATACTTTTTACTGCACCTCCCATTTTTCTTAAGTTTGAAAAAAATTTTACCATTCAAAAATGTTCTACCTATTTAAAAAACTAAACTTTTTTTTTAAAGATTTTATTTATTCATTTTAACAGAGAGAGAGAGAGACAGCAAGAGAGGGAACACAAGCAGGGGGAGTGGGAGAGGGATAAGCAGGCTCCCCACCGAGCAGGGAGCCTGATGCGGGGCTTGATCCCAGGACCCCGGGATCATGACCCGGGCCAAAGGCAGACGCTCAACGACTGAGCCACCCAGGCGCCCCTAAACATATATTTTTGTAAAAAGTGGCTGACCTAAGATCACACAGCTACATCAATTTATCTTCGAAGTCTCTATTTTTTTTTTACATTAATCTACTCTCTAGAGATAGGTGTAAGAGGAAGGCATATTCCACAGCAATGTACCATGATTAACAGATGAGTGAGCTATAAGGACAATCAATGAGTTCAGAAAAGAGAAACAATGTGTGTTAAAGTGACTTCATAGAGGAAGTGAAATGTAACCTAGGCCTTAAAATAAGGAGAGCTATTTGGACAGGAAAGGGCAATTGGCAGCTTTCAGATAGGGGAATAACATGAGAAATGTAGCTGATTAATGCAAACTCCTCGGGGTACAAAAAGGAGACACCAATCTCTCCCACACCCTTTTTTCTCTGCCTTCAGGTTTCATAGATCTTCCAACTAAAGTCCTGGAAGGGGCTTTGGATGCCATATTGTCATCCTCCTTATCTTATAGATGGTTGAGTACTGGCTCAAAGAGAGAAAATTTGTTTCATTTTGTTTTTAACTAAGGTACTTAGCAAACTGAGACTAGAATTCAGGTTTTGTAATCCCTGGTCCAACACTCTCTAGTAATAAGGAACATCATGGTTTTAGTTCTCTAAAGTCAACAATGCGCTTTGTATGTGTAGCTGCTCAGTGCAATTCACTGATCCAAGAAGATTTAGATTTGAACTCTAGACTTGGACAATCAAACAGCACTTGTGTTAAACAGAGGAATAACTGAACTCAATGACAATTTTCTTAACCGCTTTTATCTTTATTTAGTTAAACAAACTGTGAGGGAGACAACACTTAATAGTAATAAGGACCCTAGAGGAGATCTGAGCGCCAGCCCTGCTCATGCACTCTGTTCCTGTTCAGTGGTTTGCCACTTACCGTTTTATAATGGTTTAATGTTTTGCTACCTATTTGCTCAGTCTCAGCATCCTCACTGTGGAATAAGGTGTTAAAAACTGCTTCTAAAAAAAAACTTTTTAAAGCCCCATCCTTAACTGTCAACCAAAACTCATTTTATGAATTCGGCAAGAGCTACAATTTGATCATAAATTCAGCTTTTTTCATTGTTAATATGGCCTAGAATAGGGAAGTCTTTATCAAACAAAGTAACAAACTGAATGATAGATAACTGAAAAGATTTTGTTACTAAAAGATTTAAAAAAGTGTGCTATCTTTAAAACTTTTCAAAAATTTTTATCAGCATAAATAAATAAAATCTTTTTAAAAGGTGGGGGGGTGCACCTGGGTGGCTCAGTCTGTTAAGCATCTGCCTTCAGCTCAGGTCATGATCTCAGGGTCCCTGGGATCGAGCCCTGCATTGGGCTCCCTGCTCAGTGGAGTCTGCTTCTCCTGCCCCTGCTCTTGTGCTTCCTCTCTTTCTCTCTCAAAGTAAATAAATAAAATCTTAAAAAAAAAATTAACAGCAATTTTTAAAAGCCTAAACATTATCTCAAGTTTTTTTTCATAAAAAATAAAATGTATAAAGAAACCAAAATCTTAAAGGACAGAATATAAACTATTAACAAGAAGTAAACACTCTATATGCTTATACAGTAGTTTATGTTTTTAGAGTAGACTCGCATCATCCATTAGTTGGTTTTAGTCTCACCCCTGGGAAAAGTAGGTATTATTGCTATCTTAGAGATGAAGCGGCTGAGTCAGAGATTAGGAGATGTGCCCCAAATCACAGAATTTTATGTGTAGTGAAACTGGGACTAGAACCAAAACTGGGACTAGAGCCCAAGCCTCCTGCTCTGATGCCCTTTCCACATTTGCCACTTTCCCTCTCTTTCTGGAAGAACAGAGAGCCCTATGACCCCTTGGCAATGTATGCATGTTGTAGATAAGGTGCAGTGATGGCCTGGTGCTTCCCTAGCCCTACCTACACAGTTCTCCAGGACCCAATAAGATAGCTGGCACTATTTTGTGGAGCCGAGTTAAATCCAGGGGCGAAGAACTACATGTGCCTAGAACTCTGGGACCATTCTCTCTCTCAGGGAGCCCCCATCTCCTAGCACCCACCTTTGGGGGAACCAGTTCCAAGAGGCACTAGCCTCTCCAGATGAGGAAGTTGGAAAGCAGATCAGGACAAAAGCAATCAGGAGGAAAGAGGCCTGCAAGTGCTTGATTTGTATAAGGACTGCCCCTGAATCACTCTAATCAGAATGTTTTCAAGTTTCTCAAAAAAGTTGAATTTA